GATCCTCACAAATTGTATGTAGTTGCTTCTATACTGAATTCGGTCGGATGTACCAAAATTCAGGACTATTGGGCTTATTTTAGCCATTTCGTGTACAATAAACCTGAAATCGGATATAGACATATATGGGGCTATATCCAAATCTGAACCAATCTTGATAACATTTTGGCAGAGGTATTTTTTTGGGCTGTATCTGATATCTGGTACCAAATATCATTCTTGTGGAGTGCATCTTACGAATGTGAATAAAAGTTTCAGGACATAAAAATTAGTGTAAATGTGTAATATTTATTTATGTCTATTGAGTATCAAAAATTCGCCGCAAAACACTGTCCGAATCTCACAAACACAATGACAAAACAGCATTGTTTGCCAAATGCGTATCGAGTTGTGTAAAAATGTGTAAATTTGCGATTTGATCTTAGATTGTAATAAACCCGCCAAAAAGAGTTCGGTGGAAAACGCATTTTCCAAGCAAGAACAATAACAATACGCGACTATTGGCAAAACGCAGCATCAACACCCAAAAAAACAAGTCTCCGACATTTTCTGCAAACAAACAAATTATTCCGCACAAAAACCCGAAACTTGAGGAAATAAAGGACAGTAAGTGTCGCTGGGACCAACACACTTGCATTTGTGTTTTTGTTTTCTCTCCCCTCTTTCTTTCACTGTTTTCCGAAAATTAACGTCTATAAAACAGGAATGAGGATATTGAACTGTCTCCGCCTTGGGATGATGCCACAAGAAAGTGTGGGGTAGGGAGAGGGAAAAAAACTTTTTGGCAAAGAATTTTGTTGACACGTTTTGTGTCTCAGAACAGAAACAAACACAAAAAAAACAAAATGAAATTTAACCTTTTCTTTTTTTGGTGTGTCTCGCACTCCTACGTAGCTGTTGGTTTGTTCTTCTTCCTCAATGGGCTTCCATTTTTCCTGGGCAAACCCAAAAGAAAGAAAAAAATAAGTTGTATAATAACAATTTCCATTATCAACACTTGGTCTTTTGTGCATATTTAAGTCGGTGTCGTGGTTTGTTTTTGTTGTGGTTGTGATTTTCTCGATGTCCCAACATATCCGCCTGGTATATTATTATTAGTATTATTTCCCTAATGTAATTAGTTTAGGATGCCTACTTAAGCTGCTACTTGTATGCTAGGTCACTAAGTAGATAAGTTAAATTAATTTCCAAAGATCATTAATCCAATGAGTAACTGGCACTTATATTTAGGACGAGAGAATTCTAATGTCAAAGCAGTATAAAAATAGGTATGAAAGGACCAAAAACTTTGACATTTTTTACATGAGAAGATCATATTATCTCATGTAAGACTGTATAGTTTTCTCATCCATAATAGTCTTTCCATCTAATACCAAATGTTGTTCTCTCCAAGCAGTGTTCTCTGAGAGTGAAAATACATAAAACGCTCTTTTTGACTGGCTTAAGGCTTTTTCGTAAAAGAAGAAATGAGTTTTAGGTTGGCTTAGTTCGATTTTGACCCTACGCTTTTTTGTTTTTTTTACGAATAAGCCAGTCGATGACTTAAGCCAGTCAAAAAAGCGTTTTATGTATGCTCACCTTAAGTGGCCTCATAGAAGATTCATTTAATTTTTTTCATAGAAGATGAAAGGACCTTCTCAAAAGAGATCAAATGGCACTTAATGGGTTTCTCAATGAAGACAAAATGGTCTTCTCTTCGAATTCCAAATGTTCTTCTCATCTCATAAAAGAGTAGTGAAATAACTGACTGACTGACCTACAATCAAAGCCCTTGCAAGACGACTGAAACTAGAATCTTAAAATACACGAGAGCCCGTCTTAGTGCATAGGCATGTGATAGGGCTGGATTTTTGGAAATTCGTACTAAAAGGGTACGAAAAGTTCTAAAATGTACTAAAAATTGAAATAATTTTGTTTTGGACAAACGGAATGAGCTAGAATTCAGAAATTTGAAATGAGAGTCACTGATGGAGTGCAAGACAGATGTACCAAAGTGTGTTTGGAAATTCGGACTTTAAAATTACGAAAAGTACTTAAATGGTACTTGGGTGGACAGTTAGTGCTTCAAATCCGAAATTTGATATTGGGGTCGCAGTTCATGTAAAGCTTTGACATATGGAGGTGGTTTCGGAAATGAAAAAACTAAATGGTACTATATTTAGTTTTGGTTGAAAATTTGGAATGAGAGTCACTGATCAAGTGCTGGATATATGTCAAAGAGTTCTTGAAAATTCGATCTTTAAGATTACGAAAAGTACTAATGGTGCAAAACTTCTGAAATCTTTCCATTTGGTATTATCTAAACGGATAGAAATTTAATATGAAAATTAAGGTTGGAAAGTATCTTTGAAACATGAAAGTGGTTTTGAAAATGTGTACTAAGTGTGCAAACTGTACTAAATGGTTTTGTTCAGGGTGAACAGATGAAGCAGGAATTTTGAAAATTTGTATTGGGGTCCCTATTGGTGGTTGGTTTGTGATAAGGAGGTGGTTTTGGAAATGTGTGCACGAAAAGTACTAATTAGTACCATTTTCGGTACAATTTGTTATTGGGTGAAGAGATAGTGCTTGAAATCTAAAATTTTATATTAGGGCCGCTGTTCATGTTTAGCCTGCATACATGAAGGTGGTTTCGGAAATGTGTTCTATAATAGTATGTAAAGTTCTGAATTGTACTTTATTTGGTATTGGGTGAAGGGATAAAGATAAAATTCTGAAATATGGAATCACAGTTACTAATGGAGTGCAGGATAGATGTATCAAAGTGTTTTTGGAAATTCTAAAATTGTATTATTTGGAACTATGTGAAAGGATAGAGCTAAAAACTTGGAATTTGGTATGAGAATCCTCGTTCGAACGTAATTTTGATTTATGAAGGTGGTTTTGGAAGTTGGTACTAAGTGTGCGAATTTTACTAAATTTGCAACGTTTGGTTTAGGCTGAACGTATGATATTGGAATTTTAAAATTTTTTATTGGAGTCCCTGTTGGTGAAATTAGGTACTACAAGTGCACCAAAAGTACTAAATGGAACTTTATTGGTACAATTTGGTTTTGGGTGAACAGATAGTGCTTGAAATGTGAAATTTGCTATTAGGACCGCTGTTCGTGTTTAGCCTGGACAAATGGAGATCGTTTCAGAAATCTGTACTATAATAGTACAAAAAGTACTGAATGATTCTATATTTGTTATTTGGTGAAGATATAGAGACAAAATTCTGAAATTTGGAATGAGAGTCACTAATGGATTTTTCGAAATTCTAACTTGAAGGCTACGAAAAGTACTAAGATGGTACTAAATTCTAAAATTGTTCCATTTGATATTATCGAAACGGATAGAGCTAAAAACTTGAAATTTGGTGTGAGAATTAAGATTGGAAAGTAAGTCTGATATGTGAAGTTGGTTTCGGAAATGTGTACTAAGTGTGCTAACTGTACTACAAGGTACTCAATGAGGAACAATACATGAAGGTGGTTTCGGAAATATGTACTATAATTGTACAAATAGTACTAAATTTGGTATTGGATGAAGAAATAGAGATACAATTCTGAAATTTGATATCTATGTTACTGATTGTATCTGTGTTTAAGATTTGTACTAAACTAACTAAATAATAACTATAATTAAATTTGGTATTGGGTGATAGGGCTTGCAATTTGAAACAAGGTCTCTGTTGGTATCCGAAATTGAGATATGAAGGTGGTTTTTTGAATTGTAGAAAAAAGTACTAAATGCTATTAAATTTGGTATTGGGTGAAGGGGTGCAGCTTAAAATCCGATATTTGATATCGAGGTCTCTGTTGGTATCTAAAATTGAGATATGGAAGTTGTTTCGGAAATATGTGCTATATTTGTACGAAAAGTACTAAATGGTACTATATTTGGAATTGGGTGAAGGATTGGGCTGAACTGTTGAATTTTTAAATAGTTATCACTGTTGGTGTAGAGATGCGCACTAAAATTGTACGAAAAGTACTAAATGATACTACTAGTGCTGGAATCCTCAATTTGGATATAAAGCTCTCTGTTGGTATCTGAAATTGAGATATGGAAGTGGTTTTGGAAATATGTACTATAATTGTACGAAGATTACTAAATAGTACTAAATTTGTACTGGGTGAAGGAATAGAGCTGAAATACGATATAAGTGTCACAGTTGGTGTCTGTGGTTAAGAACATGTGTACAATAATTGTTCTAAAAGCACTAAATGTTACAAAATTTGGTACTGGGTGAAATCCTGAAATTTGACATTTCTATTAATGATGGTATCTGTGTTTTAAATTTAGTGGTGGTTTTGGAAATTTGTACTATAATTGTACGAAAAGTACTATATTTGGTATTCGGTGAAGAGATAGGGCTTGAATCCTCAAATGTGATATTGAAGTCTATGTTTGTATCTGAAATTAAGATATGAAGTTGGTTTTGGAAATGTGTACCATAATTGTACGAAAAGTACTAAATTGTACTCAATTTGTTATTGGGTGATGAAGTAAAAGTCCTGAAATTTGATATTTAGATTACTGATGGTATCTGTGTGTGAGTTTTGGTGGTGATTTGGAAATGTATACTATAATTGCTGGAAAAGTACTAAATGGTACTAAATTTGGTATTGAGTGAAGTTAGGTTTCTCTTAATATTTGGAATTGAGATATGTGGTTTTAGAAATGTGTACTATAATTGTACGAAAATTACTAAATAGTACTAAATTTGGTATTGGGTTGAGAGATAGGGCTGGAATCCTCAAATTCGATATCTCTATTTAGACAAAACTTATATTCTCCATGTAATGTTATTTCTTATAAATTCTTCTTATCCCCATCATAATTTTTACACTAGAATAGAAAAACAGAATACACACTACACAGGTGCACGTGTACCACTGCAGAATACAACTAATTATTCTCCATATCATGCTATTATTGGTAGCAGTTTTCTTTAATTTTTTTCTGTCATCGCCAATGAAATTTAATATTTAAAGAATAATCTTCTGCATACTTACCAAAGGCGGCCATTATACCAAAAATTCGTATCAGCGGCTTTAGACAATCACAAGGTTCGCCAAACTGTCGTCGTCGCCTTTGAAAATGTGACATATTGCCAAAATGTGTCTCCCAATGTTGGCCAGGCTAACTGGTAACGCAAAACGACTGGATAGCTGTCCAACTGGTGGTGCGCCCAACCGACTGAGTGATGGTGGCCCGGCTGCCTTTTTCAAGGCCTATTGATGTTGATGGTGCGACTGCTGCTACTTCTGCGGCTGCTGCTGCACTATTAATACCAAATGTATAGACACGATGACAATGAACACGTTGAAAAGCTGTGATTTGTAGTTCAGACTATAAACTTCAAGAGATTGCCTGGTTGCGACTAGTTTTTGTTCCGTTCTCTGTTATTTTTTCTTTGGTTTTGTACATATATATATTTTTATTATAGTTCCTATTTATTTAAAGTCCAAAATACACGCACATGTATTGGCATTTCAGCACAGTCATAATCTCATAATATAAGTACACTTGACCCCCGGCGGGCAGGCTGGCAGTACCATTAACATGCTTTGGAATGTTCCAAGTTTTTGCAGCACAAATCTCTGGAGTCGCCAAGACAAAAACTGGAAGAAGGAGATTTATAATTTTATTATTACAAGTACAAGTGGTTTTGTGTTAGTGTCTGTGTATGTGCGTGTTGGATATCCTGTCCCAGGATAATAAAGCTTCGTAGTTCTATGTTGGCAAGCTGGTGTTGGTAATATGATATTGTTAAACGATAAACGCAAACACTGACACTCACACCCATACAAGCCAACTTGTAAGAGTCTTGCACACACACACACACACACAAAACAAGTGCGTGTTGTTTACACATAAAATCCCATAAAACAACAATAGTTTATTGTTTCTCCATAGAAAACACTTGAATAATAATACGAATAATGTGTGCCAGTGTAAGTGTGTGTGCGTGTGCATGTCAATGTGGGTTTTCCTGTGAATTCCCATAGTGTAAATAATCCTGCGGCAAATTTCAAATACATCAACCGCAAAAACTACGATATTTAAAATGTTGTTTAATAGGGTGGGAAAAAGCTATAACATTTACAAAATTCGCCTAAAGGTATGCAATGGAAAGTATAAAGGGAAATTATTATTAACTTAAATGACACTAAAAAATTTACTTTTTTCTAAATTTTGATCTAAAACTTAATTATGTTTAAATATTCTTACAAACACTGTTATTTTTAACAGAGAATATATTCTTTAGAGCAAAAATGTTTGTCTATAGGGCAGATTTGAAACATTGAGACTTTGGTGATTTCTAACGTTTTCACGTAGGCTCTTTCGGAATATCAAGGAAATGTTCCTAAATTGCAGTTGTTTTAAAACTTTTCTACTTATATGATAATAAAGAAAAAATTTAAAAAAAAAATAAAATTCATATCTAAAATCAGAATATTTTTTTTTGCTTCAGAAATCATAATATTTTACGATTGTGCCAAGGGAGTGGATGTAGAACAGAGCTAGGTAGAGAAATTCAAAATTATTTTGTGATCGTATGGAAAATATTGGAAGTGTCTTTTGCTTTTTTATTTTAATATTTATTTATTTTTTCGAAACGTGGTTTATTTAAAGACGTGGATTTTTAAAGAATATTTTTTGAAGAGCGTACAAGACGTGGATTTTAGGAGGAGCCTTCGAGACGTGGACTTTTTAAAGAATATTTTCTGAGGAGCCTTCGAGACGTGGACTTTTTAAAGAATATTTTTTGAAGAGCATTCGAGAGTCTTCGGGACTTGGAGTTTAAAAGAATATTTTCTGAGGAGCCTTCGAGACGTGGACTTTTTAAAGAATATTTTCTGAGGAGCCTTCGAGACGTGGACTTTTTAAAGAATATTTTCTGAGGAGCCTTCTAGACGTGGACTTTTTAAAGAATATTTTTTGAAGAGCATTCGAGAGTCTTCGGGACTTGGAGTTTAAAATAATATTTTCTGAGGAGCCTTCTAGACGTGGACTTTTTAAAGAATATTTTTTGAAGAGCATTCGAGAGTCTTCGGGACTTGGAGTTTAAAAGAATATTTTCTGAGGAGCCTTCTAGACGTGGACTTTTTAAAGAATATTTTTTGAAGAGCATTCGAGAGTCTTCGGGACTTGGAGTTTAAAAGAATATTTTCTGAGGAGCCTTCTAGACGTGGACTTTTTAAAGAATATTTTTTGAAGAGCATTCGAGAGTCTTCGGGACTTGGAGTTTAAAAGAATATTTTCTGAGGAGCCTTCGAGACGTGGACTTTTTAAAGAATATTTTCTGAGGAGCCTTCTAGACGTGGACTTTTTAAAGAATATTTTTTGAAGAGCCTACTAGTCGTAGGTTTTTAATTTTTTTTTTCAGTGTTGCCTTTTTTGTTTGGGATACCATAGCATTTTGTTGTTGCAAAATGGTCAGGCTTACTCCCTTTATTGTTGTTTTTATAAAAACAACGTTTGTTTATTAGTGGAGAACGATGGTAATATCCCAGAATATCCCAGACACAAAAAAACAAGGGAACTGATGAGGATTGGTGGCTCTTTCCGAAATCTAGGTATTTCCTGCCTTACCTCCTGGTAAACATTACCATCGTTCTCCTCTATAAACAAACGTTGTTTTTATAAAAACAACAATAAAGGGATTAAGCCTGACTATTTTGCAACAACAAAAGATTTTTTTTATTCACAGAATTATTATTACACAATTCAATTACTATAAATTATTTTGGAAAAGAAAATATAACACAAATGACGTAAAAAAATATTTGAGGTATTGAGATAATGGTTTAAAGAAAAATTTTAAATTTGTCAAAATTATTCCAGTGACAGCTCAATATATTGTTCACAGGCGTACAAAAGCATTTTGCTGAGAATTTTCCAGAAAAAAAGTTATTCGTGATGGAATTCAAGCGTGATAGTGTGATTTCTTTATATTTGGCAGGAAAACCACAAGTGGCTATGGTTAGAGCATTTAAGTGTGAATAAATCTTTTGTGTCTCGTACCATCGCTCATACCGTAAAACTGGTAGCGTAGCCCGACGTCAAGGAAGTGGACGGAAGAAAACACCAACGTGAGCAGAAATGCTTCGAAAAGTAAAGAAGCGACTTGATCGAAACCCACGTCGCAGTGGTCGAAAAAATGGCTAGTGAGCTGAACGTATCGCAATATTCCATTCGGCAAATATTGAAAAATGACCTCGGGATAAAGCCATTGAAATTCCAAAAAGTGCAAGAATTTACATCCCAACAGAAAGAAAATAAACTCAAAAGAGCTAAAGAGTTGCTTCGCTTGGCCGAAAGTGCCGAATTTGGTTTTCTCCGTCTCCGATGAGAAAACATTCGTTGCCCTGCGGTTTGTAAACAAACAAAATGATCGTATTTACTTGCCAAAGAGGTCAGCTGAAAATGTGCGCCTTCGGTTGGCCACCACAACTCAAGCGCCGCCCATGGTGATGGTGTGGGCCGGCATAACCGATGGTCGCTTTCCGCTCGTATTAATTGACCGTGGCATCAGAATAAATGCCGAATATTATCGGGAAAATATTCTGGAAGGTGTATTAAAGCCTTGGGAACGCAAATATTTTGGCCGCAGACCTTGGACATTCCAACAGGACTCAGCACCATCGCACTGGACTCAGCACGCGCCACCCAAGAATGGTTACAAAATGAGGTTCCTCGCTTCATTTCCAGCGCACAATGGCCACCAAAATCTCCGGTTACCATTCCGTTGGACTATTGTGTCTGGAGTATTTTGGAAAGCAAGGTTGGCACTAAAAAATAAAAAAGTGTCGATCACCTTAGCCGGGAATGGGCCAAAATACCGCAAAGCAACATTCGGGCAGCGTGTGATGGTTTTATTGGCCGTTTGAAGGTTTTAATTCATGCCAAAGGTGACCACTTCGAACAAATCTAAATTTATTCAAAAATCTGATGCTATATTCGGCCTTTTTTTGCTTTCGTGTAAATGTAAAAAATATGACGTTTGACTTTATGCAGTTTTTTTATTTCACCCTGTATATGGGTCCTATATCCAAATTTTGAAACGATCTTGAAACAATTTGTCAGAGTTATTTCTAGGCTGTATCTGATATCTGGTACCAAATATCATTTTTGTGGAGTGCATATTACGCATGTAAGGGATTTAAAACCCCAAATCGGTTAAAGCACATGTATGAAGCTGTACTTGCTTCAAGACTGAATTCTGTCGGATGTGCCACAATTCACTCCATTTGGCCTGATATTGACCCTTTGGTGCACAATTAACCTAAATTTGAACCGATTCTCAATAGGGTTCGTCCTTGGGCCAAACAAATATTGTCTGGAAAATTTCAGCTCAATCAGATAATATTTTATTCACAAAAATTCATGGACAGGCAGACAGGCGGTCAGGCGGACAGACGGACTGACATGAATAAATCGAAAGTGATTCTATGAAGGTCCTCAGGAGTAAATATGGGCCTATCTTGCTTCTTTCTTCATGTTACAAATTAGTGCACAAAGACACTCTTACCACTATGTGGTGTAAAAATTGTGTATGGAACCCGTAATCATGACACCGACGATATGTCAATTAATTTAAACATTTTTATAGCATAATTTTAGACGCTTCCTCAATTTTATACCCTACAACACTATGTGTTGGGGGTATTATAAGTTTGATTGGGCCAGAATTTATGTAACACCTCGAAATATTGGTTTCCCATATAGGAAAGTATATATGGATCTTCCTAGCTCGCCGAGCTGAGACGATCCGTCCGTCCGTCTGTCCGTCTGTCCATGTTAATTTGTAATCACTCTACAGGTCGCAATTATGGCCCGATCCTTACGAAATTTTGCACGAAGGTGGGGTTTGGGTCAGAATAGAAGCCTATTTCTTTTGGAGATGATCGCTAAATGTTTAGGGGTTGAAATGGACCAAATACTGAAAAAATGTCGGATTTTGCAGTAGCTATACAGGTCGCAATTATAGACCAATCGACGCGGAATTTCGCATGTAGCTAGAGTTTAGGACGGGGAAGAAGCCTACCAATTTGGGTGGTCATCGGATAATATTTAGCGGGTAAAATAGACCATATCACAAAGCCATGACAAAGTTACTTCTGATCTTTACATTGATGTTAACATCCAACAAATCGAATATATAGCAAAATATGTGCGATATATATGTCTATCAAAGAAAATATGCTGGAAAGGTCTCTTATATGTCGAGAACGGCTGAACTGATTTCGACAGTTCTCATTAATTCAGAATGGCCTCTTGGCAGGAAAGAAAAAACGTCTAAAAAATCGCATAAAAATGTCTCTCTAAAGATGAAAATATTGATTTTGTAACATTTTCTCATATTTTTTAAATTTTGTCATATTTTCGGCATATTTTCATTTTGAATTAAACATTTGGTAATATTTCTACAGCTAACAAAACTAAGTAGTTAGGATATAAGGATATCATATACAGATCGCATTTATGGCCCGATCCTTACGAAATTTTGCATGGGGATAAGATGAGGATCAGAATAGAAGCCTACTCTTTTTGGAGATGATCGCCATATATTTAGGGGTTGAAATGGACCAAAAAAACTGCAAAATTGTCAGGAGGT